AATTAGTTTTCATCTGTCTCCTATTTAGAATACATGGTGCTGAGATTCATGTGTGAACTGTTACACGCACCAATCGTTCACTTTTTTATTGTTAAGCACTAAAGCAGTATCCTACTCCAAGCTGTTCATACATTCTACTGTTCAGGATCATTTAAAATTTTAAGTTATTTAATTATTGTGAATAAACATGTTATAGACATGCCTTAATATCTCTTGGGTCAGTATGTAGAAAGATGCTGCTGCAACATGTTGGTCATTTGCTCATAAATTCACTCTTTAACTTTTTGGAGATAAGTAACAAATATGCCAGGCCAGTCTCAAACCTGCCTAGATTGACTTCTAATAGTTTTGCCTCCACTTACTAAGTACCATCCAAGCCTGGCTTATGTTGTACTGAGAATTGCACCCAGGACACCATGCATTTAGGCAACCAGACTACCAACTGAGCTACAGAAGCCCCAGTCCCATTCATTTTGTCCTCAGTCACTTTATCTGCTATTCATATAAAACAAAAAGATACAATAGAAAAGGAACAAGAATAACATTAATCTATAAAAGATGCAATCTCATCTTAGTTTCCTGTGAACATTTTCTGTCTTGTCTCAGGAATATTGGCAGATGCTTTAAAATTATTTCAACACACACACACACACACACACACACACACACACACACACTTTTACTGCTGTCCTTAATTCTTGTAACCCAAGTTTTACCATAAACCTTAAAATGTGGGCTACCAATTTTCTAGAATTAGAGTTGCTTAGAAATACAATTAAAAGCTTAAAAATCATAATGAAATGAGAAACATGCTACGTGCAAAAAAGTTAATGTTGTTAATTTGGCAAAAGTATTAAGCATTTAAGCCAAGCATGCTTCCCTGGGCTTGGTGACTACAGAGAAAAGTGCTTTGTACAGGACTAGAGGCTTTATCCTAAATCACCTTTACTATATATTAAAATATATTTTATACCACATGACAATATACATATCACATCTTTTTAGAACCATCTCCCAGAAAGCCTCCTAATTTCACTATGGCGCTAGTCTGTAGACTGCCAGCCATTTCCAAAAGTGTTCCAGCACTCTGCCTTATGGACAGTGAGACTGTTCCGTGTGGACAAGGAGGTCACTTGGTGTTGCACATTTTGTAATAGTTTTCTACAGACCTAGAGAGAACTATCTTCAAACACCAGTTAGACAACTCGATAGACTCATGCTCACCTACGCTCCTACCCGCCATGATAGAAATGGAAGGTGCCCTGGGTCTGTTTAGACTCTTATCACTTTCTTTCCCCATCACCCCTCAACATACCTAACAGGCATGCCACTGCAGATAATAAAATATTCAGAAATAAATATCACAACTGAGAAACTACAAGTAGAGGAGGACTGCCTGCCTCAGATATACTTGCATTTTGGAATTCAGGAGAAGGCAGCTATGACAAGGAATCACGTAAAATACTTTTCAGGAAGGGGAGTAACATGTCCCTTTTCTTTTAAAGTTGAATACTGGAAGCTACTTTAGCTTTTATTGTCAGGCGATAATGAGACATTTTGCTAACTGAAACACTACAGTGTAATCTGAATTATGTAGAGGTCCTAGGAAGGTAGCCACCACTTATTATCCTACCTACCCCTATGGTAGGGCACACCTCCACTACCTCTGTGAGAGAATGTGGAAACCTTTAACTGAGTTGACCCAAGTGCATTCATTGTTGGGGCTCTAGACAGCCATTTTCAGCACTTGTTCATACAATGGAAGTTAATTTAAGGGACTATTTCTTTTCATATAAAACTAACGGCACAAAATTTTTACATTATTCCATCAAACAAAAGGAGGTTATCAAGGCCACATTTCAGATCATCACAATAATAGAAAGGCCTAATTTAATGTTTTATGGCTGGAAAGAACTTTAGTCTTCAACAGACATCTCTTTTTATAGATAAGGAAATAAAGGCCCAGACAGGCCACTGAAATCTAAGCCCATCACCGTTAACTGAGTTAGAAGGGGTGAAAAAAAGGTTAGAATTCAGCCCTGGTCTTCCGCACCAGCACATGTTACTCTCTACCCTAAATAAAAATAACTTAACATCTGTTGGTATAACTAAGTTTGTATGGCTTCACTGTGAAGTCACGGTCCTTCCTGTTTACTTGTGTTTTTACCACTTTTGGCAAAAGATGAATAGTTTTTGAAGTAATGACAAATTTTTTGATATACTCATATAAACATAAGGACCAGTCAGTCTTAAGTGTTTAATTGTTACATATTATCACTACGAAAATGTTTTATTTAAGGGGCTGGAAGGATGGCTCAGTGGTTAAGAACATATGTAGCTCTTCCAAAGAATCTTGGTACAATTTCTGGCACCCACAGAACAGCTAACAACTATCTGTAACTCCAGTACTAGGGAATTTGATGGTCTCTTCTGGTCTCTTTGTGAACTGGGCATGATTGTAGTCTACTGAAATACACACAGTCAAAACAAACCTTGCTGCTGGTGTATACCTTTAATCCCAGCACTCAGGAAATTTCTCTGAGTTTCAGCTAGCCTAGTCTACATAGTGAGTTTCAGACCAAGCAAGGCTATATAATGAGACCCTGTCTAAGAAAATTACAAAAGCAAAACACCCATATAATGATTATTTAATTAAAAAATGTTGTCAGGGAAAGTATCACTCAACTACATAAATGATATCTTTTACTATCTTCCTGAGTGTGAAGAGTAATTTAAAAGAACAACATTAAGGAAATTTGTGTGGCATTATTGAAAAGAGTAGAATGGCTTTTCAATCAGCAAGGTGAACTTGTGCATTGCTGAGGAACCAGGCAAAGTTGGAAATAAACATACAAAATCACAGTCCATGGCCAATGCAAAGCCCAAAGAGAAGATGCCTAATAAAACAGAGCAAAACTTCCAAAGTGCATTTTCTATCATTACGGCTTGAAAAATGGCAGAAGGAAAATTTCAAGAAACCTGAGCCAATCCCCAGAATAGGAAACAACAAAAAATGTGTGACATTTTGACTGCAGCCCACTCAGACAGGCATGGTCCAGAAAGTCTTTGTTGCCACAAGGCAGCTGGTGTCTGTGGATACAAAACCCTTTTTATTTCACTGTCACATTAAACCCTGGAGCATAAAACCAGTGGCAGACTGCAGAGCCATTTCTGGTTCCCCAAGAACAGACTATTGGTCTTGCAGCTAACACGAACTATCAACCAATGTTCCCATTCTAATGAAAAAAAAAATGCAGAATGATTAGGATATCAGTCTGAAATCCTTTTTTAAAGTACTTACTTTGGCAGACTGAGAGATATAAGAAAATGACCTGAGCAATTAGTCCGTAAGACAGCTTGTACATTATACAATATGCTCCCTGGGATAAAGTATTCCACGTACCAGTATCTGCAGATAGGAAAGAACTAGCATCTTCAGAGAAAAGAGGGGAGCCTTTTGTTTCCTTTTCAAGTTTGGGCCAAAAGGAGAATATTATAAGAACTTCAAATAAAAAAAGTACAAAAGTAGTGATAAGTGGATTGACATAATATGATGTACATCCGTGGTAATGCCTAATTGGACTGATACAGGAAATCAGGTGACATCTCAACACCTAGCATAATCCTAGGCATTATACTACATTAATGATGATGCACTGTAACCATCATCCCTAAATACCTGGAAGTTATTAAGTATCCCCCACCCTAATTTCACTACTCTGAAGATTATAGCAAACTTAATCCCTATATCTGTGTTCAAGAAACTAATTTAACTTTAAATTACTTAAGAACTCTGTCTTTAAGAAATCTGCTGGCACCCCCAGAAATTCAAAATTCTAAACAAGTCAAATCCCTGTCCTTAATGTGATATAGACAGAAGACCATCAACAGATCAGAGGTTGGCAAAGCACTTGCCTCACAGACTGGTGAAGCTGTGTGTGGATCCCCTGAACCAGCAGAGAGGTGGCTGTGTCGGAGCATGTCACTAGCCAGTTGGTTTAGCCTAATGTGAAAAGCCCAAGTTCTGTGGGAGAATTTGTCTCCAAATAATGCAGAGAGCAATTGAAGAAGATATCCAACATCACCTCTAGCTTCCAAACACATTTACAAACATGTACTTATGCATACACACACACACACACACACACACACACACACACACACACACACACACACACGGTGGGGGAGGGCATGGGCGGGGAAGAAGTCCAGATGATATTATAACTACCTTTAAGTATTCAGCTAAACAGGCATCTTTCCTAGCTGGAGTCTCCTAGTCTTAGGGTTGCCTTTGTCATACACCTCCCATCATGCCCCCTCCTGACGCCGAAGATGACAGGAAGACTTTCAGTACTTTCTCCGAAGGCAAAACAACGCCATGCTCTACAGATCTTTCTCTGATTCTTTTGAAGCTTCGTGACATGTGCATTTCCCTATCATGTATGTCCAAATCACAACCAATTCAATAAGGATTTATTATGGTTTCACATGTACAAGGCAGATGTCCAAATGTCAGAGCTACAATCAACTCTCATAAACTTCTGACAAAGAGAAAGAAATGGAAAAAAAAAAAAAACTTTCATTGTTTCCCTTCCATGTGCCCTCTGGAAATGCTCATAATAGTTTCTTAAACCAAGCGTGTCTGGCAGTTACTATGGGACCGCTATCTTCTTAGTTTGTGTTTCAAAATATTTATTATGAAAATTTAGTTTTTCTTCTTTCTCCATGTTTCTAGAGAAGCCTAAGAATCACTAGGTGTGAGTCGACACCAAGACTAATATCAATTAGACACCTTCACAATTTTTGGCAGAATAAAAGGAAGTGTGTGTTATGAATCTCCAGACACCCAAATAAATCTAATTCACACAAATAAGCCTTTCCACATACATGGGGGTGGGGGGCAGAAAGGAGAATGAGAGTGAGTGTAGCAACCACAAACAGCACAGCGATGTTTTTGTACCTAGGTGAAACCTTGAGTTCAGCAGCTAATGGGCTCTTACCTGCAGCCATAACTTGTTATGCACGGCATCTCTCCCCGTAGCAATGCACTGAAATGTAGCATTCTGCCCCGCATTGACCTCCACGTCACCCAGACGGAGGAAATGAGGAGATTTATCTGTGAAAACAGGGGGAAAATACATGTTGTGTTCACAAGAAGACATGCAGCATTCTCCTTCTCCACAATGGAACACAGTTCTTATTATGTCTACACTGGACTAGCAGTGTAGTCCAGTAATATGCAGAAGCCACTGGACTTGCCTTTGCTCTACAACACTCCCCTCATAGTAACTCTCACACACATCAACTCCTCTTTTGTAGAGACCGAATTGTACAGAGTCAAAGCCCAACACTTCGTGCTAACAGCTGCTCTAGTGTGGGTTAGTGATAATAAAAGTCAGGTTCAAGGAAGCCAAAGGGATTAAACAGGTAGCTAGCGGGCTAATGAAAAATAGAAGGGCTGCATTTCAAGACCCCTCACTTTCTCACAGCTACATGCTCGCTTACCTACTTATTCACAATTTAGCCAACTAGACAATCATTCATTCAGTTTTTCAAACTTTAACAGTCGTGTATCAGAGAAGGGAACATCTTTGGTTATTAAAAATGGAACATCTCCTTCCTGTTTTCTGGTAGCCATGGGAAAGTTACCCAAAAGAAACATCAGACCAACAAAAGTGATGTCTGTGACCATAAAGTATTCACATGAGTGATTTGACTGTCAAGTCAGTACTCATTACAAATTTCCTTTTAAATCTGATGCCCAATCAATGTTTACCATCGAAGGGAAAAATGCCCAAAGCCAAGCCTTGGTGAATTTAAACAATAATACTATTTTAAACAATAATACTATATGTCTTGCAAATAGCATTGCAGTTGGAATCGTCAATTAACTTTATTCTCAAACACCTTTCTTTGCCATTTGCCATTTCAGATGTAGACATGAAGCACAGGAAGAAATATTATGCTGTGGAGTAAGTGAGTTTCCTTGGCCAACTTGAACTTGAAATGGGATCACATTGTTATCTTTCTGAGCATATAACATACAGATAAATGATTTGATCTTTGGAACCTCTTTAGGACCTTCCTTCAGTTAGCTCAAGGAAAAAAACTTCAGCAAGAACAACATGGACCAAAAAAAACTCCAGCCCAGCAGCACCATAAAACTGACCAGAAATGCAAATCCACAGAGCTCTGCTTAGACATGGTTATCAGGTGGAAGAACCAACCCCCATGTTCTTCACTGTTAACATGATGTAATCACTAAGCAGAGGCAGAAGACTTGGCAACATGTTGACCTCATAAATCATGTTTACAGAGCCTTAGAGATGTTTCATCATGTAGGACCACGGAGCACAAAGTCCTCTTACATAGGACCTGTCATGTTTTGTTGCTGGCAAATCATATCATGAAGGAAGTCTGAACAGTTGTCTGTAACTTCTTCCTGGCCCTACTGAAAAATGCATACAATAATTCTTCTGGGGGAATGTAACTAAGCACAAATTGAAGTATGATGTCTGAAAAGTAATCATAGCTTATCGAAGGGCCTCACAAAACTACGTCAGTAAAGCCAGATTTGTTTTAACATTTTATTTATTTAATGCTGATTAACACAAATATTTAGGATGATAATAAAAAATAGCCCTAAATTTGGAAGAAGGAGAGTAAATTCATTCTCTACATTTCCCTCAGTACAAACTTAGCAGGTAAGATACCTTAGACAGCTTTTTTATTTCATATGTTACTGAGCTTGGATTTGTTACTTGTCTCTGTTTTCATAAAGAATGACAAGATATCACAAAGGCTCAAAAAGTCCTAGTATAATGTGCTTGTTATCATTCAGTAAAAATAAAGGAAATAATCATATCATCCATGTAGTTAAAAGTCTGGATAACACTTGGTTTGAAAATTCTAGGAAACATTTCCGTGTTCTTTCCATGAACCCTGGGAATAAGAACGACAAAATGGACAATGATGACCAGGCAATAAACAATCAACAGTCCCTGACAATCCAAGGCATGTGCTGAAAGGACACAGAAAAATACAACTCTTAATCAAAACCTACCGCAAGGATAACTCAAGACTTGGATGTCATCAATGGCAATATAACCGCTTCTGCCTCCTGAGACTTCAGCTTCAAATATTACCTGTCAGGAGAAAATGGAAAACATTTACAACAGTCACTTTTAAAGAATGTCCACAGTAGAAGATAGCTATAATGCCCTAAAGATAATTTGATTTCTCTTCTACTAGGAACTTTTAACTGTATCTCATATGTGCTTGATTCCTTCTTTCTTTGTTTTCTTTTTTCTTTGTTTGTTTGTTTCTTTGTTTTGTTTGTTGTATTTTGGGTTTTTCTGAGACACGTTTTCTCTGTGTAGCCTAGGCTGTCCTAGAATTAGCTCTGTAGACCAGGCTGGTCTCTAACCCAGAAAGCACCTCCTGCCTCTGCCCCCTGAGTGCTGGGACTAAAGAAGTGCATTACCGCAATCCATCTTGTACTCTGACTTCTTAAACCTTCTGCATATAATCAAAGTAAAGTTTATATACTAGCTAAATGACTAAGTTAGTATAGTTGCACTATGCTTAGGCCAATACTAAGGAGTTTTGTGAGATTTCCTAATAACTTACCAGTTAAATCAGGAAGATACTCTGCTAACAGTCCCAAATGATCAATTCTCAGAAAAAAAAGAAGAAAAGGAGGCCATGACCAAATACAGGGCCCTATCATAGAGTTTTATTGAAACAAATTTATATATATATGATATATATATACATATATATATGTATATATATATCATATATAACAAAACTACATGAAGTATTTTCTTTTAAACTAATGTGTTGTACAGCAATTTTCTAAGAGAAAACAGATTTAGCATTCAGCAATTCAATTTCCTATTTGATTCCTTTATCTGTGGAGATAAATAGATAATTTGCAGAGTTCTTTGCAAAGCACTTGAAGAAACGTGAAGGGAACTTCTGTTTAAAGTAACCATATAATATAAAATGAGGCTAAAAGAAGGACTATTAGGTGAGAAACAATCCAGAAGGAACAGACAGACAGTCTTCTAGTAGCCATGACAGAACTTCAGTGAGAATCCAAAGGGGAAAATAATGCTGATGTTGAAACAGACAGGGCAGATGACGCTGACTCAGTAGGTATGGAGAAATACAGAAAACATCAATGATTTCTAGCACAGGCTACCAGCTGAAGGACTGATCAGGAAGCAGTCATAACAGTAATAAAGACCAATATGCATACTTGAAGAACGAGACCACTACTATCAAATTTGATTTCCCTGTGACACCTGCAAGGGGGGAATGCTGAGACATAACTGGGCAGCTCTGAGGAAAGCTGGGTGAGTCTCAAGGGAAGGAACAAAAGTGGAAGGAAGTGAGCTGTCAACTTAGGAGTTAAATGGATGGTAAGAGGGCAGCATGAGATAAGGGAAGAGGAGAAAGCCACTAGGATGGAAGCCAAGATTGACAAGAAAGCCAGCAGATGTAAATTCAATAAAGCAGAATGAAGTCCTGGCTAGGGAGAAAGAGAAGTGCCCAGGGGGTTCAGCCAGGTCAACACTGGCACAACACTGAGTAGCAAAGGTCAGGTGAGTTACAATAACCAGAACACAGCAGGTATCTGTGCATCTAATAGACACAAACTTGAGAGCAAAGATGCTTTTCGATACCATCTGCTGCTCTCCAGCTATGTTGCTCCTTTGTAATGGATAGTTATGAATCCTGTGCTTCTGGTAATGTAAACATTGTGTGTGCCAGTGAAAACTACAGCTTCTGAAGAAGTTGTGTAAAAGCTAAATAACAACTTGCAGACTTGGGAGGCTGGATTTTAAAATAAAAGACTGTAGGAAATAACTTCTAGTGCAAAAGAACATCCAGTGAAAATGAAATTTAGAAGTATCTGTTGGTATTAGCCATTGGTAGTTCTCTATCTTCCAGATCATTCGTACTGAACAGGAGGAAGAGAAGTGTCTCTGATGAGACATGGATAGCATTCATTGAATACTAACCTTATAAAAGGCAGTGTCAGAAACTGTCATGCATGTGTACTCTTGTTTCTACATGAGATAGATAGATAGATAGATAGATAGATAGATAGATAGATAGATAGATAGATAGATAGATAGATAGGCAGGAACTAAAGTTTCATGGCAGGGACAGAAAGATTGTAAGAGCCAAAGGATCAGGGAGTTTGAGACAGTCAGAAGCTACACCCCTAAATACTGCCTATGTATGTGCTGAACAAAGGCAACAAAAACAGACATTACAGTGTGGAGGAAGGAAAAACAATGAGACCACAAACAATTATAGGCAACTAAGGAATGGTGAACGCAGGAGAAATAGTCTTCCCCAGGGAAGATCACACAAATAGGTTATCCAATACCACATAGCCATGTCTGAATATACATGCAATAACACTATACAAACTAAATAGCTTATATTTAAGAATATAAGTATATGCATATTAATATATCTACATGAAAACAGTTAATGAAAAAAGAGGTCATAAATTTGCAAAGTCTGACAAAGTTTGACAAAGAAAGCAAAATTTGAAAGGATGGGCATATGAGAGGGTTTAGAAGAAGGAAAAGGAAGGGAAAATGATGTAATTATATTATTATCTCAAAAGTTAAAATAATCAAAAATTATTAATCCTGCAATAACATAGGCTAGCTGGATAATTTTTCATGACTTCATTAAAAAAAAAAAAAGTGTTGAGAACAGGCAGAGAGAGACTGATGAAGCAAGAATGCACCAGGCCATGCAGCCTTCGGGAGACTTCAATTAAGGTCAGCAAATAATGATGTGAAGAAGCCAACAGGTCCAGAGGACATCACTTAAATAGAATTTAGGGTTTATATTTCATTTTTTTAGAACAGCTAAAATTATCAATATAGTTAAACTGCTTTAAAAAATCAGTGTTATTTGAATTAGTACACTGATAAGATATTATGGAGAAGAATGGCAGAGATTTTAACATTAAACCATTCCCATTCTTTCACCATATTGCTACATCTGCTGAAAGTCAACAAAAACAGGGAAAAGTAAGTAGGGGCAGGGGCTTCCTCTTTATTTCATCCAGTCCCACCACAAACTCTCCTGGTCACTCTTTCCTATTCCCAGTTTATCCTTCGTGTTTACAGATTTTACTGGAATAAGTGAAATTGAAACGAGAAAGTTGTCTTAGAGGAGCAAAAACCAAACACTTCAGGAGAGAAAGACAGCTGATTTGTGAACACAAAAGTGAAGAGGAAGATGGAGCGTACCCTCAGATGCACATGCTTATTTCCTCAATATGAAGAACGAATGTTACCGCCAAACATGTATTTAGTATGAATGTAATCACCACCATTTTTGAATGATCTGAACAAGGGCTTGGTGCAAACTAGAGATCAGAATGTAAAAACTTAAATAACATTCAACAGAGGTATTGATGGGAGAAGACTACTTCAGGATGAAAAAAGCCTATACTAGACCCAGAGATCTCCAGGAATTCACAGAAATTAGAGACTCCCATACTCAGATTATGCATGTTATAGATGTATAATGTTGATTACATGGTCAATTTTTAATAGTGGTGTATGGAAAATGCTATTGGTGTTGACTATCATTGTAGCATCTATATGTGATGGCTGGGAAAATAGACCCTATGAGAATAAGTTTCAGTGGCTTGAGTAATGTTTCAAAGAAAGTAAGTATCCAAGGAAAAAGTAATAATACTGTTAAAAAAAAAACACATTTTAGTAAATAAAGCACATGTCCCTGAACAGCTAATCATGTGGCTATTTCAGTTTGTTCTTGTCGGGACTGACTCAAGTATTCAAGTACTTCTTGACATATCTCAGTGTTAACTTTAGAATTCTCCAACTTCTCTAATTCCCCATAAGCTTGAGTTTAAGCAACATTACTACACCCTTGAGGAAAACTTATTTGTTCATTTAAATTGAGGTTTATTCACGACAATAAATTTAGGCCTGGATGTAAATGAGGGCAAAATGATTGGCTCTTCATTATGAGGTGGGGAAAGGGTAAGTTTTCTTTCTAGTGACCTCATTTTCTCTGTTAAGTGCTGTCTTTGCCTCATTAACAGAAGCTTGGAGAAATTTCTGAGCTTGGATTCCTTTACTGCTGAAGTCGGACTCAGCGCTATCCCTTCACAGAGCCCTCACCTTGTGAGGGCTCTTCTGTCCAGTCAGGGGAAACGAATCCCAGCAGTTTAATTACGAAGCTTGCTGAGGCTAATCTTCAGGTCAATGCTGATGCTGGGTGTCGAGTGCTTGACCTGGGCTTCTGGGAAGAAGACAGCAATAGAAGGCACACCAGATGTCAATGTTAACTTGTCTGTGGAGGCTCCCTGGGAACGGGGCACAAGGATTCTGCCTTGTGTGCTGTTTCTTTCTACTCCACCCCATTACCTGAGATACTGAAGGTGATGGGTGTAATCAAATTTCTGCTAGTCCAGCAACATTCCTGCATTATTAACTAAATAAATGAAGTTGAATTAAAGTGGAAGAGCAAAAAGTGGTATTCCCTACAGAACAAGGACAACTTTCTCCGCTAGCAAATGGAATTGATTCAGAGGAGGAAACATCTCGCATCATGAGCGCTGAACTTGGGGTCACCAAGTTTGTCTCCAGGCGATGGTCTGCTATCCTGTGTCACTCAAGAAATGACTTAACTCTGGGGTTATGTAGCTTCACCTGGACACTTCTGATCTTGCTTATAAAACAAGATCCCTGGGAAGAGTGAATTCTCCAAGTAAAATGATGAACTGATGTTTGAAATGCCATGGAAGATGAGAAAAACATTTACTTTTAATTTTCTTTCAGTATAACCTAGTGGTAAATGTCCAAATTCCCAAGTCAGACATGTATTGAGTTCATATTCTTTAATTATCATTTCAAATCATGTCAAAACTTATATAAATTAACTTGTATAGCTTTAGCTCACATACAATTTATACCAGTTCCCTCTCCTAAAACAGGAACTATTAATATCCACCTCAGAGCTTTGGGAAGGATTAACTCAGAGAATGAATATGAAACGGCACAGATCCTAGCCCACCGAGACTCCTCTATGGAAAGTGCCATCACAGCCATCATGGCGGGAAAGCATCCATTAAAGACAAATGCTTGAAAATCAAATCTTCTATTCCTGTCTTCCTCTCTTCAAAACACAAAGTACACAGCCAATTTCCAAAGAACATAAAACAATCTGGTATTTCATTCCCACAAACCTTTTTAAAATCTATGGGTTTGTGATTTCAACTGTGAAGCAATAACCTGAGTTACTGTAAAAAAAAAAAAATTCATAGTAATTAGAAACTTGCCTTCATTTATAATGGGAGCAGACTTCAATAATGACTAAGACAGTCATCTGTAATCCACACAAATGTCACTAAGACTGCAGCTCCAAGCACAGAGATTTTCAGCAGAGTACATATTTCTTGTATCTCTCATC